AATAGAATGTGACTTCAAATTGTTCAACATTTCCATTGGGTGTTTTATCACGTGGAAGAGTGACTGACTGAACTGGAGCAGGTTTGTCAAAATGAACAGTAATTATTGGTTTAAGATCATTTTTGTCGAAAGAAACACCTTGTTGAGATGTTGGTTGAAATTTCATGTTTTCACCTCTAGGTAATTCGTTCGGTTTCACAGTTATCTTCTTGCTAACAGCTTCATCTACAGCTTGCATTTCTTCACATATCTTCGTAGTTGTTCCTGACACTGCTTCAGTAGTTGAACCAGTTAGTGTTGTTATAACCGTGTAACTAGGTGTGCTACCTTCTACAGTACTAACGGATGTAAGACCTAAACTGGTTTCTTCAGTTCGACTTGATTCAGTTCCAGTGAAGCCTGTAGTTAGTGATGTTTCTCCTGTTTGTTTCGCTTCCGGCGTTTCTGATGGAATTGTTGATAGTGGTGTGACAGCCGTTGTTTCTAAAACGTTGTGAAAAACAAGGATGAAGCCGAGTCAAACAGACATGTCACTTTTTGTACAAAATTAGTCTTAAGAAAATTGTGCCTTATTTTCTATGTAGTTTGTTTCCTTTGTACACCTTATTGGCATCAAAATTGTTAATGTCCAAAAATGATCAACTTTTTTCCAGAGAAATTGAGAAAATTTAATACTGTCCAGATGCACACATTTTGTATTTAACAGGTTTTACTTTGCTATTTTACTCTAGTTGCATAGAGATGCGCGTTAGTCAGCATATTCTCTGTTTAATTTTCCACGAAATCACATTATGCATTCAATTGTATAGAGATAAGAATGTGCTGGAATTTAACTATTTACCATAAATGTGAGAAAACAAAATAGGAGTTATTTAGAATAATTTCGTTTTGAATTCTCGCAAAGCATATTCTGACTTGTACAATGATTTAAATTTTCCTTTAAGGCGTTTCCTGCCATTAAGTTTAAGGATATTACAAGAAGTATTCTTGATTTGTCAATGAGATAAGTGTATATAAAAAATTTAAAGTACAATAAAACTAAGAATATGGTTTGGAGAAATTCTAAATGGGATTGTTCGAAATAACTCTTATTTTATTTCCTCACATTTATGGTGAAGAGTTAAATTCCTGAACATTCTTATCTCTGTACAATTGAATGCATAATGTGACTTCGTGGAAAGTTAAACAAAGAATATGCTAACTAAAGCGCATCTCTATGCA